GCATAAATGAATTGTGGCACATTCGTATCAGAAAACAGCATTCACCAATGAAAAGAAATAAAGTAGTACAAAAAGACATGGAAGAAACTTAAATACATGTTAGTGAAATAAGCCAATCTGGAAAGGCTACATATTGTTTGATTCCATCTGTATGACATTCTAAAAAAGAAAAAATGATGGAGACAATCACAAAGATTAGTGGTTGTCAATGGTTCAAGTGGAGGGAGAGAGGAATAAATAGGTGGAGCAAAGGGGATTTTTATGGAACTGAAACGATTCAGTATAACACTGAAATGGTGGATACATGTCATCATATGCTTGTTAAAACGTATAGAAAGTTCAATACAAATAGTGACCCCTAATGTAAATCATGGATGTTAGATATCCAGTATTGGTGACTCAATTTTAACAAATGTATCACACTCCTGTAAGGTGCTAATAATTGAGGGAAAATGAAGGTTGGGATATAAGAAGGCATATGTCCTTCCTGCTTATTTGTCTGTAAGCCTAAAACAACTCTAACAAAATTAAACTTATTGATTTAAAAAAATCAATCCATCATCCAATTAGAAAATGGGCAAAAGACAGGAAGACATATGTCATTGAGGAGGATATATGGATAGTGAACAAGCACATGAAAAAGCATTCGACATCATTAGTTGTCAGGGAACTGCAAATTAGGTCTATGATGAGATATTAATGCATATCATTCAAAACAGATAAAATAAAAAATCATGACGACAATACCAAATGACGGTGAGGATGCAAAGAACCTGATTTTCTCAAGCATTGATAATAGAAATGTAAAATAATATAATCACTCTGAAAAATACTTCATCAGTTTCTTTTTAAAAAAAATTAAACATAACAACTACCATAAGATTCTTAATTGCACTCTTAGGCATTTATCCCAGAGAAATGAAAACATATGTCCACTCAAACACCTATACATTAATGTTCATAGATGCGTTATTTCTAATAGCCAAAATATGGAAACAGCTACAATGCCCCTCAATAGGTGAATGGGTAAACCAACTGTAGTACAGATAATATCGTACCCAATCTCTGTGGTGCAACAGCAAAAAGGAACAAACTATTGATACACGCAACAACTTGGATGGATCTCAAGGCCATTATGCTGAGTGACAAAGCTGATCTTGAAATGACACATACTGCATGATCCCATTTATATAACATTCTCAAAATGACAAAAGTACTAAGATAGAAAACATATTAGTAATTGCCAAGGGTTGAGAGTGGTGGGCGATCAGGAGGGTGAGAGTGCTATCAGGGAGTAGCAGAGGCACACCTTTGGGGTGCTAGAGGATTTCAGTATTCTCATTGGCATGGTGGCTACGTGAATCTATACCTGTGATAAATGACACACGCACAATGAACCAATGTCAGTCTCCTGCCTTTCATATGACACTACGGTTATAGAAGCTGTAACAATTAGGGGAAATTGGGTGAAGGGTTAGTACACGGAAGTTCTGTGTGATAACTTTGTAATTTTCTATGAATCTACAATTATTTCAAAATAAAAAGTTGGCTGGGCATGGTGGCTCATGCCCGTAATCCCAGCACTTTGGGAGGCCAACAAGGGCAGATCACCTGCAGCCAGGAGTTCAGACGAGCTTAGCCAACAGGATGAGACCCTGCCTCTACTAAAAATACAAAAGTTAGCCAGGTGTGGTAGTACACACCTGTAATTCCCAGCTAGGCTGAGGTAGGAGAACCGCTAGAACCCCCGAGGCACATGTTGCAGTGAGCCGAGATTACTCCACTGAACTCCAAATATAAATAAGTTAAAAACTTTTTAATGTTTAGAAATATGAACATGACATATTTATCAGCTAGGCATAGCTAAAGAGAGAATTGGTAAATTGTAAATAATTTGACTGAAGCATGGAGATAAAGAAAAAAAAAAAAAAAGAATGTGAGACATGTAAAAGGGCCTGCAAGATGCACAACAGTGAGCAGAAAGATTTAACATACACGTAATCAGAGTCCCAGAATGGGAGAAGAGAGGAAATGAAGAGAGGCAAACTCTGGGAATATAATAGGTTAGAATTTTCTAAAACTGAGGAGAGAAACCAAATTACAGATTCAGGAAGTTCTGTAAAATCCAAGAAGAGTAAGTACAAAAAATATTATCCTTGTATCACAGTAAAATAAAGACAAAAATCAAATGCTACAAGCAGTACCCCCCAGTGTAGGCTCAAGAGGAAATGCCATGTTTTTACATGTTCTTCATCATCAAAACGTTAAAATTCTAGCTGACATCACAACAGAAATCATGGAAGAAAGAATTCAGTAGACTTATACAAAGTACCAAAAATAAAACTAGCTACCAAACATTCTAGAATTCTATACCCAGAAAAAATATCCTCCAAAAGTAAAGGCAAAATCAAGACACTTTCAGAATAACAGAAGTGAGATAATTCATTGTATCAAATTTACATTAAAAATTTCCAAAGGAAATTCTACAGACTAAAGGAAAAGGTGCCAGATGAAAATATGAAAATGTCCAGAGATAAGAAAATGGAATAATATGAAACAATTAATCCAAGAAGAGACAAACATAGAGAAAAGGAATCAAATAATAGTTGGGCCAAATAAAAAACAAAAAGTAAGACAGTAGAACATTTAAATGTATCAATAACTACCTTGAATGTAAATGAACAAAATAAATATCAGTCATCACACTGGATTTAAAAACAAATTTTTAAAAAGCAACAATTGATGCTTCTTTCACAGGATACATCTTAAATATAAATCAACAGGAAGGTTGAAAGTAGGATGGAAAACGTCTATATCATGCAAACATTAGCCAATAGAAAACAGATGTAAAAAAAAAAAGAAAGAAAACAAATGTGATTATTGCAACGTCAAAGTAGACTACAGGACAAGATTTATTACTAGAGATAAAGCGGGCATTTTCTAGTGATAAATGATCTTTCACCAGGAAGTTATGACAATTCTAAACTTGTATGCACCAAATTAATATGCTTCAAAATACGTACAAAGTTTAACAGATATAAAAGTGGAAATAGACATATCTACAATCATAGTGTGAGATTTTAACATACCTCTCTCAGCAACTAATTTGCATTTCTTTGGTTATTAAAGGATCAGAACTGGTTTTGTGTTATTAGTTTTTTGTGATTATATTTGAAACTGACTCTTCATATATTTTGCATATTTTTCCATTGGAATGTTCCTTTTTGCTTACTGATATGTAAGCCTTCTTTTTAAGATTTACCTTACAACATACGCTGTGAGTAGTTCTTGCCAGCATGTCTTTTTATTTTATGCGTTTTAAAATTTTTGTAAAATACAATCTTCTCAACATTTCAAGTGATGTTTCTTGCATTGTTTTCATTCTTCAAACTTAAAAGAGTGTGTTTTGATTGATTTATTTTTCCCTAGACAGAGTATTCTAGTGAGACTTAATATTGACGCTCTAGGTTCAAAGAAATTCGCCTCATTTAAATAGAATCTCTTCAAATTGTACTGAAATTGTAGGTGGGAATTTAAAGGGGGATCTTTCTTTCTACCTGAATGATGTTTCTTCTAAATCTTTATTTATCTAACAAATATTTATTGAGCTTTTGTTCAGGGCTGGACACTGTTTCAGGAGCTAGGGATAAAGCAGGGATTCAAATAGACCTTCCCTCCAGGCACATTCTATCGGGAAGAAGGAGGCAGTAAACACGTATGGCCTGTGGAGGGGCATGCAACGGAGAAAGACAGAGCCTAGCAGGAGGGCAGAGTCAGGCATTCAGGATAAGATGGCAGGTGCACCTTGATCCACTGGCAGACTCCTCTCCTCCAAATGTCTTGGCTGTCACCTTGCTCTGTGTGCTATTTTTGAGCCATGTCAGTCCTTCCACATGACACTGCTTTGCTTATGCTACTGACTCTTCCATAACCCACCCAGATTAGGGTAAAATTTTACTTAAAATCGTAACTGCCATGACTTCCTCAGTCACATTAGCTATTCAATAGATGGAAAGTAACTTGAATTGACAACAACAACAAAAAAAAATTGCAGGTGAAAAGCATTTCTCGAAGAGTAATTCTTAAATAAAAAATAGTAGTTGTTATTAATGTGTTGCTTATAAAATCTCTATTCAACCTAGATTTCTGTAACACTTCAGAAATGTCCAGATACTGAAGAGTGTTTATCTACACGTTTCTTAATCCTGGATTCTAATAAGAACCTTGAAGTTGCTGTGAAACATTTCTGATGCCTGGTTGTGTCCACAGAGATTCTGGCAAAGTCAATCAGGAGCAAAGCCTGGGCATCAGTAATTTTTCAAAGATCCCCAGGTGACCTAATATGCAACCAGGCTGAACACCATGGGGAGTGACACAACGTGACATTTTAATTGCCAGCACACATGTGCATCACTTTCAGGCACATTATACCGTCACAGCCACATCAGTTATAACAATTCCCATCTCTGTTGCAAAGTCAGCAATGTCTTCCCCACTGGGAAATGCACACCTGAGCACAGGAGAACCGGCATGCTCCTTGGCTAGTTAGAAATTTCGCCTACAATTAGTCACTGCCTGCTGGTAACACACCTCTCACAAGTGATGCATCCTAGTTTCTACTGAGAACAACTGGTCTAGGCAGCAAGACCTGTTGTTTTTATTTTTAATTTAACTCACTCATAATTATTCCTCATTACATAGAGCATTGAACCTGTCACAAAGGGCTGTCAAGGGGTGATCACGCTGTGTTCCTTTTAACAGGAAGCAGAAACAAGATGCCTTGGCTTGACAGAATCCACCAGGCAGGAGGTTCGGGTTCTTTTTATTTGAGTGTGGTGGAGTCTTTTTCCAGCCTTCTTCAAGAATAAGTATCACCTGGCCAGCCGCCATCACGGCAACTTGCAAAGTAGCTCTGGCTTCCCCTGGTCCTGCCCCCAGGCCCAGGCAGGGCTCAGAGACCCCCCCTGCCCACCTTATGCAACAACTGCTGCTGAACTTACAAAGAATGGAATCAGGCCAGCTGCCTTGTCTCCCTCCAGGGCTTCCTGCAGGGCAGACGCACGCATGGCAAAGTTGCCGTCTGAGGGGATGGCTTTTAACTTCACTCCACCAATTAACCCAGCTCTTTCCACCGAGGAGTGTGCCTGGAAAGAAGACAGCAGAGTTGGATTTGTACAGGTGTGTGACACAGTTATTACCAGGCCCTGGATCCACAGAGAGCAGCCAACATTGCAGGTTGTTCTCACGCCGCAGTGGGCAGAACCGCTCTGGACGCCTCCCTCTCCCCTGCACCTTCATGAGACCCCTTTTTTCCTAGAGTTGTTTCTATTCCTGTGGAATCTTGCTTTTGAGTTTAAATAATCAGGCACTAACAAGGGTAAAGTGCTGGGTCAATGTTCATGAAGTTTGTCATTTGTTTGAATTTAAGAGCGAGTGGCAAGACTCTGGAAAGTAGATCCCAGAGGTGGACTTAGAAATCCAGGCTCAAATCTGTGCCTGCCCCTGACTGTGGGATCCTAGGAGCCTAGTGGCCAAGCTAGGTAAACCGTGCCCGGAAGAAAGAAACCAGCCAGGAGGCATCACCACTGTGGCAGATCCATCCTCTCCCAGAGGTTCCCAGGAAAGGCAATTCTCATGAATGCCACCACCTTTCGCCCTGCAGCCCCGCTGCCACTGTCTCCTGCTTGGCCATAACCAGGGGCCTGAAATCACAGAGTAACAAAGCGGCAGGGCCCAGGTCTTTGATCCCCATGTGCAGTTTCACTACAGCTCAGAAGGCAGGCCAGATAATCACAACATAAGTCCGTGCTGGTAGAAAAGGGGACAGAGCCAGTCACAGTGATGTCTCCACATGTTAATTTCCTTTTTAACCTGATCTATCCAGTTCCCACCCAAGAATTCACCCCTTCCCTTTAGTTCAGGTCTCTGTTTAGTGATACCTGAGGAACTGCTCTTAGATTTGGAAGGATGCTGGTTGGTTCGGTTTGGTTTGAATTTGACATAAAACCAAATCTTCAGGTCTTGAAGTCTTGGCTGATACCCCCTCAACACACTCACCTGATCAGATGAGTAAGCCACCAGCTTCTCCATGATGGCGGCCTGTGTCAGGTCTGGGGACTCTGCCTGCAGCCGATGGATCACTTTGGTCCGAGCAGCCAGCAGGGCCATCAGGGTGGCTTCGCTGGCACTTCCCTAAATCCAAGAGAAGGTCCAAATGAAATCCACAACATAGCAAAGACATTGGTACCTACACTATTGGAAGAACATACTGTTTTGTGTCCATATCCTTCTTAAAATATGAATCTGAAATGGCAAAGTTCACTCTGCTCTGCTTGGAGGAAAACTAATATTTTTGACACCTGAGACCACCACCTCAGCTCTTTGTATGAGTTTGCCGTTGCTGGGTCCGTGTTGTGTAACAGCAGCAGCTAACATTTCTGACCACTTCCCTGCAGCAGGTATTGTGAGAGCGTCTCCTCATGGAGTGTCCCCAGCCTGGCCTAGGAGGACTGCTCCTGTCTCCATCAGAGTAGAACGGCCCAGGGCACCAGCACGCAAGCCCACTCCATGTTCATATTCCCTCGGACAGAGCGATTTGCATTTGTCTGTAAAATTGGGGTGCAAATTTTCCTTGAGACTAAGAGATGCCTTGAAGGATTTCTTTTGATCCCCAATGACAGGTGCTGAATTGTGTCTCCCCAAATTCATAGGTTGACGCCTTAACCCCCAGGACCTCAAATGTGACCATATTTGGAGATAGACTCTTCAGAGAGGTAATTAAAAGAAAATGAGGTCACATTGGATTGGCCGGGCTATAATCCAATCTGACAAGCTCCTGATAAAATTTGCCCATAATCCCAGCACTTTGGGAGGCAGAGGAGGGCACACCACTTGAGCCCAGCAGTTGGGGACCAGCCTGGGCAACACACTGAAACCCCGTCTCTATAATAAAAATACAAAAATCAACCAGGCATGGTGGCGTGCCGTAATCCCAGCTACTCAAGAGGCTGAAATGAGAAGATTACTTGAACCTGGGAGGCAGAGGTTGCAGTGAGCCGTGACTGCACCACTGCACTCCAGCCTGGGTGACACAGTGAGATCCTGTCTCAAAAAAAATAAGCAAATAAAAAGAAGAGGAAATTAAGCCCCCAGACACGGGCATGCACAGAGGGAAGACCATGTGAGGACACAGGGAGAAGGAGGCCATCTGCATGCCCAGGAGAGAGGCCCCCAGAGAACCAACCCTGTGGGCTTTTGGATTTGGGGCTTGCAGCTTTTGGAACTGTGAAAAAAGAAATTCTGGGACCTAGAAATAGAAATTCCATCTGACCCAGCAATCCCACTACTGGGTATATATCCAAAGGATTATAAATCGTTCTACTATAAGGACACACGCACACGAATGTTCACTGCAGCACTGTTTACAATAGCAAAGGCTTGGAACCAACCCAAATGCCCATCGATAATAGACTGGACAGGGAAAATGTGGCACATATACACCATGGAATACTATGTAGCCATCAAAAACGATGAGTTTGTGTCCTTTGTAGGGACACGGATGAATCTGGAAACCATCATTCTCAGCAAACTGACACAAGAACAGAAAATCAAACACCGCATGTTCTCACTCATAGGTGGGTGTTGAACAATGAGAACACATGGACACAGGGAGGGGAGCACTACACACTGGGGTCTGTCAGGGGGAAATAGGGGAGGAACAGCAGGGGGTGGGGAATTGGGGAGGGATAGCATGGGGAGAAATGCCAGATATAGATGAAGGGAAGGAAGGCAGCAAATCACACTGCCGTGTGTGTCCCTATGCAACAATCTTGCATGTTCTTCACATGTACCCCCAAACCTAAAATGCAATAAAAAAAGAAAAAAGAAATTCTTCCATCCGCCCAGTCTGTGATATTTTGTTAGGGCAGCCCTGGCAAACTAATGCATTCAGTGCCTGTTATGTTAGCCCATTTAAATAGTAAAATAATCCCATTTGTGCGTTTTATCATCTTCAGATGGGGAAACAGATGCCCAGGCAGGTTCAATAACTTGCCCCAAATCAGCAGCTAGGCAGGGCACGGTCAGGAGTGAGCCCACACCCACCCTTTCTAGGGTGCCATGGGCCTAGAAAGGAAGGGGCGGCAAGCATCTTCCCTCTTAAGTAAGTCCCCGAAGAAACCCATCTACCAACCTATACGAAAGGACGTTAGAAAGGACAAATGAAAAAAAGGTAGATTCTTGTTGACCATGAAAATGACTATCAGTTAATGACATGATAGGTTTTATAGAGATAGAGAAATATATAATAAAATAATTAAGTGGAAATGCTAACCTCTCTTCTTAACATTTGATGCTCTCTCCTTTGATCCCGATTTCTCATTTTGATTTTGCCATGACACTACTTATTCTTTTGAGCCAACTCACATCCTTTGGAGAGACAGTAATATTGTAAGATAAATATATTTATTCGTGTTGCTGTAGCACTAAGGGATGAGTTCAAATATACAGATATATGCTTCTCTTAATTCAGCCTCTAAAATGGGTACTTTGTTTCCTTTGGGCTGTATTTTCATGAGCAATTATCTTAGACATTGTTTTAGAGAAGGTTTACAAACTTGGCCAGAGGAGGGAGAGGAGGGGTAAAACAATCTTGGCTGGCAAAGTTAAACCAGCCATTCCAGGAAACCCAGGCTCCCTGAGAGCCGGCACCTTACACCTCTCCCACGCACCCCATCATTCCTCCTCTCCCTTATTTCCTCCTGTGCCCCATCTGCCCCCACACAGATTTTATTTCTCATGTCCCACCCATTCCCATTGGAAATGTAACGTGAAAAGCCTAGTGGAAGACATGGTGCCTTGTTCTCGTGCTTGACACACAGGCGTGACTGCAGCTTCCCTGGCTAAACTCTACCTTCTGCTTTAAGCCTTGGGACACCTGTGTTCATTCTCTGAACATTCTGATGAAAGGCCCTGAATCACCATGACAACTCATTATGGCTCTTGCAAGGGAGAAGGAGGAGGGGGTTTAGTTCACGTCCTGAGAAAAAATTCACCTGCTTAAGTCAACAAAATGATTCTTTAAAAGCCCAAAGGAGCAAATCATCAGTAGCACATCTAGAACCACACCGCCCCAAGGCCACCAGGGTGGCCTGGCAGCCTTGAGCGTGATGTCGGGTGGAGCTCTCTGCGCTTTGCGGGCAGAAGATCTTTGTGGAGAGAAGCATGGGGAGGGTGACGTGCGGTACAAAGCAGGAACGATGGCTCTGCGCGATGGCAGCAGACAAAGGTTGCCATGGCAAGTCTGCTCGAGAGGCAGGAGGGGAAGCTGGTGAGGTCTGATGCTTCCGGCTGCTGATGCCGTGAGCAGAAATGTCCTTTCATCTTCTGCTTTTTTTTTCAAACCAAAAAATTGGCTTTTCTTCCACAGGAGCTTTCAACCCCAATTAAGAGACCATTTCTGCAGCCCACGTTTGTCCGGCCTCACAATGACAGTTTGCCATTTGACTCAGACACCCATCGCTGTGCTGATGCCCACAGCTGTGATTACAGCTCTGAGGGGATCGATGATAACCCAGGCTGGCTCACAGGCTGTCACCAGGCTCCTGTGCTCTTTGGGGCCTCACCAATTACAGACAATCAGCCTTGTCTGCTGGGAAGGGTGAGCTTCCGGCAGCAAACACAGACCCCATTTCTTGCTTTCATCCAGAGGAAAAAAAAAAAAAACAAAAACTGAGTGAATTGGGCTCACAGAAAGATTGTGTTAAAGCTGGGGCTAAGCGATGCCAGGAATAACCCTACCCAAATGCTAGGGACTTGTATGCTCTCTCAAAAACGAGGTTGTCTTTAAGGAAAAGAAAATGCAACATGTACATCTCTGGACACCAACCCAACCTGACGGTCGGGCATGAGCTGGTGTCACCATCATAACGCTGGTTGTCTTTCCGACCGCCCTCGGCTTTAATTTGCCTTTGTGGCTAGGCATGTTCCACTAGCTTTCTGGGTGGGCCTCAATATCCTTATCCATGAAAAAGATTGTCAATAATGTAATCACGCCTCATAAATATTTTGAGGATGAAGACAATAACAGAAAGCACAACACATAGGATAAAACATAGCCAAGCTCATAGTTGCTATTTAATGAAAAGTAGCTATAATTATAATAGACGTGCCTTATATTATGGGGGATTGATAAGATTTTTTTGAGAAGTATCTAATTAGTGGAGCCATCTTGGACTGCTGAAAAAAATGGAATATGACATTGTTTTTGTTAGAAGGTGCAATCGCCTAGTAATGCTTCAATTTTTGTTTTGTTCCATTTTGATTTGGGGCAGGGGGAGCATGAATGTTCAACTTGAACACAGCCAGGAGAGCCCCAGGAGAAAGCTGATCATCCTGGAAGATGGTTGCACTTCATCCTGAAGACTATCCTTCAAAACTTTTTTTTATAAGAATGAAAAATTTGATGCAACACAAATATCTTAGGTATTATTTATATAGATTAAGACGCATTATAGAAACTCATGCAGTACTATTTTTTCAAAGAATATTTAGATAGTGGGAAACACTCGTAATAAAATGATAAGGAAAGCACCATACAGATAATCCGTATGTGTTGTATTATTTCAATTTTGTTTGTAAACATACATTCACATGTAGATACTGAACTAACAGGGAATATGACAAGCTCCTATGTCCTTTCATTTTTATGGTAAATGTCCAATGCCTAGGTAGAAAAGGGACAATCTTTTTTAATTTTTTTGAGACAGGGTCGCAGTCTGTCACCCAAACTGGAGTGCATAGCGCGATCTCAACTCACCTCAACTTCCACCTCCCAGATTCAAATGATTCTCCTGCCTCAGCCTTTCGAGTAGCTGGGATTATAGGCACGTGCCACCACACCCAGCTAATTTTTATATTTTTAGTAGAGATAGGGTTTCACCATGTTGGCCAGGCTGGTCTTAAACTTCTGACCTCAAATGATCCACCTGCCTCGGCCTCCCAAATTGCTGGGATTACAGGTGTGAGCCACTGCACCTGGCCCATAATCATTGTTTAAAGAGGAATAGTAGAATCAAGATTGCCATTGAAGACAATAAATTGCCAGTGTGGAAAACTAAAACTATGTGGAGAAAACCGGAAAAAACTTCCCAAAAATATAGAAGAGAAGATGACCAAAAAAAGGGAAATATCAAAAGAAAGAGAGAAACCATGGAAGAGATACCCAATCTGTGGAAAACTGAAGCCCCTGAAAAAGAGTGGCATGGCCCACAATGACTAACACACAGTAGAAGAAAAATCTCCATGCTGCACAGAGCTGAGTGGTGGATCAGCAGGGCTCAGCAAATGCAGGGAGGGTAAAATGAGAGCAGCAGGCTGGGCGTGGTGGCTCACACCTGTAATCCCAGCACTTTGGGAGGCTGAGGTGGGTGGATCAGGATTTTGAGACCAGACTGGGCAAAATGGCGAAACCCTGTCTCTACTAAAAATACAAAAATTAGCTGGGTATGGTGGTGAGAGCCTGTAGTCCCATATACTTGGGAGGCTGAGGCAGGAGAATCACTTGAACCCGGGAGGCAGAGGTTGCAGTGAGCTGAGATCGTGCCACTGCATAGCCTGGGTGACAAGAGTGAGACTCCGTCTTGAAAAAAAATGGGGGGTAACAAATGGAAAAGAAATGGAAAAGTAGATCTTGGCTCACGTATGCAACTAAAAGAAAAAATAAGTCAGCCACCAGCATCCAGGCCTCTTGTAAAGGGGTAGACCATGCATGCACTTGCCTGGAATCAAAACCCCGGCCTCTGCAGGCGCACAGCTGTCCCGCTAGGTCCCTAATTGCTGCCACCCTCCGTCTCTGGATACTCAGACTCTGCCTTTTGTAGGCAAGTGTGGCGAGGACATTCCTGGAGAATCAGGACTGAGGTTCCAGTGGCTGGAAAGCTGGCTGGCCTTCACCAAGGCAAAGTGCAGTCAGCAGTGCATTGGCTGTGGACCGTGTGCAGTAGCCCCCTCCCCTCGCTGGAAGGGCAACGGTGACAGCCTGTCTTTGCTGTGATCATGGCCAAGGAGGCTTCTCCAGCTGCATACCCACTGACAAGAAGAAAATTTTGCTGGGAGTGAAGGACGCTGCTTTTGCTGAGTCATTGTTGCTGCTGGGTAGACTGGTACAACTCACAGCAACATACTGAAGCTTTGCTGACAACATAGCTGACATCTTCTTTCCCTTCCCTCCTTCCCTCTCTCCCTCCCTCCCTCCCTCCCTCCCTCCCTCCTTCCCTCCTTCCTTTCTTCCTCTCTCTCTCTTTCTCTCTTTCCAGGCTAGAGTGTAATCCCTGCAACCTCCACCTCCTAGGTTGAAGCTATTCTCTATCTCAGCCTCCCAAGTAGCTGGGATTATAAGTGTCCGCCACCACACCCAGATAATTTTTGTATTTTTAGCAGAGATAGGATTTCACCATGTTGGCCAGGCTGGTCTTAGACTCCGTACCTCAGGTGATCTGCCCATCTTGGCCTCCCAAAGTGCTGGGATTATAGGCGTGAGCCACCATGCCTGGCCTGACATTTCATTTTCATCACTTCCCTATTTAATATCACTTATGTCTGATGGAAATTGAGGTAACCAAAGAATTTGAGGGAGGAGCACTTGGAGGGAGAGCTCTGAGCCTGGCCACAGGGCTTGCGGGTCACGGAGAAGGCCGCCATCAGTCCCCAGTCCCGGCACGTGGCCTGTTCAGGTTTCTCTTTGTCATCCGGGTGAATTAGAGTTCACTTTTTTTTGCCCAGATTCTAGGACTAGGCATTATAAACAAATTCCCTCCATGACTCTGAAGCACACTGGATGTGGTAGCCAGATTAATGCAGAACCAAAGATTCAGGGCTTGGTTCCCAGAATCTGTGATTGTTTCCCTTACAGGGAAAAGGTGACTTTGCTGATGTGATTAAGTTGAGAGCCTTGACTGGGGAGATTATCTCAGATTGTCTGGATGGATTCAATCCAATCACATGTGTGCTTAAAAGTGGAAACCGGAGCCGGGCGCGGTGGCTCAAGCCTGTAATCCCAGCACTTTGGGAGGCCGAGGCGGGTAGATCACGAGGTCAAGAGATCGAGACCATCCTGGTCAACATGGTGAAACCCCGTCTCTACTAAAAATACTAAAAATTAGCTGGGCATGGTGGCGTGTGCCTGTAATCCCAGCTACTCAGGAGGCCGAGGCAGGAGAATTGCCTGAACCCAGGAGGCGGAGGTTGCGGTGAGCCGAGATCGCGCCATTGCACTCCAGCCTGGGCAACAAGAGCGAAACTCCGTCTCAAAAAAAAAAAAACAAAAAACAAAAACCAAAAAAAAAAAAAAAAAAAAAAAAAAAAGTGGAAACCGTCTGGGCGCGGTGGCTCACACCTGTAATCCCAGCACTTTGGGAGGCCGAGGAGGGTGGATCACAAGGTAATGAGATCGAGACCATCCTGGCCAACATGGTGAAACCCCATCTCTACTAAAAAATATAAAAATTAGCTGGGTGTGGTGGTGCGTGCCTGTAGTCCCAGCTACTTGGGAAGCTGAGGCAGGAGAATTGTTTAAACCCAGGAGGCAAAGGGTGCAGTGAGCTGAGATTGTGCCACTGCACTCCTAGCCTGGAGCCAGACAACAAAGCAAGACTCTGTCTCAAAAAAAAAAAAAAAGAAAAAAAAAAAGTGGAAACCCACTTTCTTATGTTTTATGTGGTCAGAGGGAGATGTGGCCATGAAGGTGTGAAAGGAAAATAAATCTCAGGACCCCAAAATCACTAAGCCAAAGGGGAAAGTCAAGCTGGGAACTTCTTAGGCCAAACCTGCCTCCCATTCTATTCCTAAAAGAGATAGCTACTAAGATAAAAAGCTACATGACTCCCTCACAAGGAATTTCCTTTTGAACGAAAGACAGAAAGTCACAGAACTCAAAGTCACCCCTCTGCCCACTGACATAGCTGCACATCTGATTGCCTCCTTTGGAAAGGCTAATCAGAAACTCAAAAGAATGCAACACATTTTCTCTTATCAACCTATGACCTGAAAGCCTCCACCCTGCTTCAAGTTGTCCCAACTTTCCAGACCAAATGTACATCTTATATCTGTTGATTGACGTCTCATGTCCCACTCAAATGTATAAAACCAAGTTGTGCCCAACCACCTTGGGCACACGTCATCAGGATCTCCTGAGACCATGTCACGAGCAAGCATCCTTAACTTCAGCAAAATAGACTTTCTAAGTTGATTGAGACCTGTCTCAGATATTTGAGATTTACAAAAGAAAGGTGAGAAGGATGGGACATGGCTGGCTTTGAAAATGGAAATGGGGATGTAGGCCAAGGAATTTCAGAAGCCTCTACAAGCCAGAAGAGGCAAGGAAACAGATTCGCCCTGGGCCTCCAAGGTATCAACTTTGGTTTTAGCTCAATAAGACCCAGGTCAGACTTCCGACATACGGAACTGTAAAGATAATCAATTTGTCTTGTTTTGAGCCACTAACATTTGTCACAACATCAACAGAAACAAATACTGGGGCACATAAAATTCTCAATCCTGTTGTGCAGTCTTAGGACTGGAAGTGGAGAGACCTGTCTGCTAGTTTCACGCGGCCACACCGGCCACGTGCTTTGCACGAAGGTGCTCTCCGGTCTGTGCCTCACTGTTCCCACCCACTGAATGGGCCTTCGCCAATTCTCAGAGCCTTGTGGAAGACAGTATCTGAAAAGGAAGCCCCTTTTTCCCAAAGTTAACAATGCTTTTCTAATGAGACTGTCATCTCCTTGACCCAAGCAAAGTGATTAAGGGAGCGTTCTGGGTTTAATATAGTTCATATTCCATGCTAGGAATATATATATATTTAATGCATCAGTGACTTTTTAATCCAAGTCATCCCAGTGCCATTTGTCCTGGAACCCCAGCGGGATAGAAATCCCATCATGACTGTCCTTTGTCTATCTTGCTTCCTGGTGTACAGTCTGACACGCAGTCACTCTCAACAGACACACGTTACATGAAGAGAATGAATTCAATTGGTGCACAGAAGCAGCAGCATCTTCAAGTAAATGACTGGTTCAAAGACAAATAGCATTTCTAGCCTCTGAAGCCTGGTCACAGCTGCTACCTGTGCTGCCCTCAGAGGAAGATCACAGGCTCTGAGCCACACAGATATGGGATCTGTAACTTACCAGCTAGGAGCCAGCGGGCAAGCTACCTAATGTTCTGGGCCCCAGTTTCCTCCCCTGTAAAAAGGGGTATTAAAATGTTTCTTCACGTGTAAAAAGGGGTATTAAAATTCAAAGTGTTATTATGAGAATTAAATGAGCTAATGCCTGGAAAATGCTTAGGCACAGTGGCCGGCGATAGGAATCCCACACGAATGTTAGTTGCTGTAGTTATTTTCAGGCACCCCCTGTGTCATAGCTGCTATTCTACCTGCCACAGCTAGGGGCCTGGGGAACTGAGTGCCCTGCCCTGGGGAAGTGAGTGAAGGACAGTACTGGATCCTAATCCACATCCTGCCAATACCAAGACCAGCATCTTCCCAGGAGCTCGGTTTTGTTTATTCTCCAGGAGAAATCTGAGGACCTCACAGGAAGCATGAGCACCTCTTTTCCCGCCTGCAGCTGCAGTCCTGTGCAGAGCCCGCGCATATCCAAAGTGGCCCTCCCGTATCCCACCTCACCTGGATCACTCCTCCCCCTTCTCCGGCTTTCCCAGCCAAGAAGGCCTCTGGCAGCTCCAGCATCTTCCCGAGCCAGTCCATCATCACGGTCTCCAGTTCTGTACACGCTGGGCTTGCGGCCTGTGGTGGGGAGAGGGAAGGGATTAACCAAGAGCCAGGCATTGCAGAATGTTGGGAGCAGCAGTAACAAGGGGACTTAACCTTCCACTAAAGCCCAGATTAAAATCAGAAATGATTCAAAGGCCTGAAGTATATTTGACCTAGACTCATGCAAGGAGATTGGCTGGGGGGGAACACATGGGCTACCGTAATGAACCTTACTCCACTGAGCCCTACTGCATGGACACTGAGGCCTTGCTAGTATATTCATTTGTTCATTTATAGAAGGGTCCAGAAAGCCCACTGGCAGACTCTCCTCCATAGTCACAAATGAAGGGAATGAGGAAGTGGGCGCTGGGCAGCTGTGACCCTCTGGGCATTCTGAGAAGTCATTGATCTTGTCTTGTAAGCTCCCAGTGACTGCTCTATGAACTCTCCCCTCTCTGCAGAGGCTGGTCTTGGGCCCCACCCAATGGCGGATTGAGCCTCCACCTTCATGAAGGTCTCCAACATAAGGGGTCCAAGGCGGGGCTCCGAGGTGCTCTCGTGCCTAGATATGCATCCTGATGCGTCGCTAGTATGATCTAAGTGAGAAGAGTGCCTTCTCCCTTCTGGCCAGCCCATCCTGCTGGGTTCTACCCTGGCCTGGCCAAACCCAGCTCTACCAGTAGCCTATGCGCTCTGCCAGGGACCAGGTATCAGGCAACGCAGCCTGAGAGACAGCAAGGCCCGAGGGGAACCAGATTGTCCTGGAATGAGCAGATAGAGATGGATGCCAACTACCCCTGCAGGAAAAGAATGGGTTTGGGTCAGCAGAGCTAAATGAAATCCTACAATATCCAGTGGAAAGAAATGCTCTTTAGGAGAGAGTGTGCTCAGCTCAGGCCACACTGAGGGGACCCAGGCCAGCCTGCCCAGCAGAGAGGAGGCCCCAGTGCCCGACAGAGAGCAGCACAGATACTACTGGCTGGAGCCAGTGATGGGTTTTTCAGCCCTGCCTGTGGGGCCTTTGATGCCTGATCCGGCGTCGCAGCCCAAAGAAGAGCAAGCACCAGCCTGGTGAAGCAGAGGTGTCTCAGTGGTGTGAATTCGTAATTAACAGCTCCTTTTACATATCACAGCATGCCACATAGACTGATGCCTACGAGTCCACCTGGCTCCAAGCCACAGACAAGGTGAATGCTCTGGACCCCGAAGGCCAAGGACAACCCCTGGCCTTTGAGAAACTCCCCAGGGCGCAGCAGCCCTTGGACACTGACCATCAGCTGGCAGCTCTACCTCCAAGCTGTCTGCATTTGGGAGGTAGGCATCTTTCCTCTAAGGCTGTGCCTGGAGCAGAGAGCCACGGGCGGAGCCAGCCCTGCCTGCCGTTCTTCAGAGCAGGGACTTTTCTAGGCATTTTACCTCCAGATAGGGTGGAACTGGTGGTATGCAGGCAGGAGCTACGCCCATTTCCAGAGATCCCCTGCTCCAAGGCTCTCAGCACATCTGATGGGCTGGTTGGGGCCTCTCCCCAGGCAGCAGCCCTGGCTGAGAACAGATGGAATGAGACAGGGGCAGTAGTGGTTTTCAAGCTGTGGAGGATATAGAAATTCTCTGAGCTGCTTGGGGAAATGCAGATTCCCAGACTCGGGCTGTAGAAACTCTGGGCCCCAGACTGTGATGTTAGTTCATACCAAGTGTTTCCAACACACCCTGTGCAGAATGGACTTTGACTTGCTGAGACGTTCTCTGTTCTGAATCCCTCCTTTCTCAGAGGCACCTTCTCTGATCTGAATCCAGTTCTCCTCTCTGCAACAGTGGCTCATTTGCCCACAGATGGCACTGCCATCTGCTCAGGTCCCATGTGCATAGGTACTGTGTCCCCACCCCGGGATCCTGCCACAGGCAGGACCCTTTCTCCAGACACACCTCGACACTCACCCAGGAGAAGCCGATGCAGCCGATGGCCCCACACAGCATGTCTGCAAGCATGGCTGGGTACGAGCTGGCCGTGGGGAAGTAGGCGAAGAAGTAGGGGCTGTGCCAGTGCGTCACCTGCATGGGAGGATGGAACAGCTACTCAGGAGCGAGGAAAGCTAGGCCTCAAGAGAGTGAGGGACCCAGGTACCCCCATAACCCCCAGTCGCCAGGTGCAGCCAGACCCAGAGTTGGGTCAGTACAGTTCCCCTAATGTCAGCCATCCCTGTACCTTCCTCCATTACTCTAGAGCATTTACACATCACCTTACCATCCCCACTCCAAATCAGCTCCTCCTTTTTGATGCTGGAACACACTTGCTAGCTCAGAAGGAAATGTTACGTCTCCAAAATATAGTGAAAAATCCTTATCATTTTCCATAACAAACGTAGTCTCAAAAAAACCACACCGTGCTGCACATTCTTGCTCCCGTGCTCTCGTCAGTGAAGGTGCTGCCCCAAGGCTGATCGCTGCGTGCCAAAAGCTTAGTTTCCCTAAAACTACTCTAAAAAAATAAACTCTCCATTTAAAGAAAAAGAGCCTGATTTTTGAGGTTTCTTCAGGCAAGCCACAAACACGCGTCTGGTCTTTCCACTGCCCCTGGCTCTTCTAGAGGAGCCGAGTCATTCCCTCCAGCCAAGCAGCTCCATCAGCCACCAGACATCTCGCCTCTGCTGTCCTTCAGCCTGGCCACTGTCCCTTGCCATTTGCTCTGGCTGGGGGCATCCCACCTTTCTGCAGCCCATAAGGTACACACCTGCTGTGTTCTGGACAAGGCACAAAGGAAAAGCTCATGTGGGTTGGGAGGGGACCCATAAGGGACAGTGACAGCTCCATGTGGCACACTTGGGGACAGAGGGTTTCGGGATCCAGGAGGCGAGGGTTGCCGTGCACACCTAGGCAGGAGCCTCTCTGGGTTGGGAAGGTCTCCATGGTAACAAGGGCCAGCTTTGAACATCTCAGAGTCTGAAAGGATGATCCGGAGAGGACAGAGGAGCGTGTATAGCCTAATCTTTGCATCTTTAAATTTGTTTCTGCCAATGTAGTGCCTGCCATGAAGGAACAGAATAAAGCCCTCAGGACAATCCTCAGCCCCTGTGCAGTGAGAAGGTATAGAGACTGCCATTCGGACCCCTCTCGGGCTGTGACCATACACTGCTTTCCAAGAGACATTGTCCTGTTCCCCATCATCGCTTGCTGGTGCTCCCTGTCCATCTTGCCTGTGGGAATTGCATGGCGTTACCTGGACTGCAAGTTCAGCAGGGACTCTGATTTGCTGGGCTGCCCTAGACAACTGACTGCACCTCTCTGTGCACGGTCATCCCCTCAGATAAAATGAAAGCACATGGTCTGGTGCTTCCTCCAGGCCTGGCTCAGAATCCCAGGGGCTGAGGATATGTTGTCCAGCTTGGCTGCTCTGCTTTGAATGTGAGTGTCTATGCACCATTCGTCTCAAAATCCTAACCCCCAATGTGATGGCATCAGGAGACAGTGTCTTTGGGAGGCGATTAGGGCATATGGGTGGGGTCCCCTTAATAAGATTAGTACCCCCTACAATGGGATTAGTGCCCTCATAAGAAGATGCAGAGAGCTGGCTACCTCTGGGTTATGTGAGTACACACGGGAAGGCGGCTGTCTGTAAACCAGGGAGCGAGCCCTCACCTGCACCTAATGCTTTGATCTCAGACTTCCAGTCTCTAAACTGTGAGATATCAATGTTGTTTAAGCCTCCCAGTCTACATCATTTGTTGAAGCAGTCCAAGCTAAGATATTATCATTTCACCCAGTCTGGGAAGAGATCCAAACATTTCTTTCTCAATAGCACTCATCTTTAAGTGCATGTTGTCTAAGACGTAGCACGAGCAATCTCCCGATTGTGAAGGCAGCTGACTGAGAAAGCTCACCAAGAAGTAGGAGTGTTCAGAGGTTTATTTAATAACCACAGCCACCCCAGGCCTGCCAGGGCTGGGGGAGTGGTGGAGAGAGGGCGCCAGCCCAGTCTAGGCTTGGGAGCTCAGGTGCGGGACATTGGTGGTGAGGCTGAGAGGCCGAGAGGAGCTGTGTAGGCTGTGATGCCTTCAGCATCGCAGATCCAGGCCCACGGCATTGTTAGGGGCTAAAAACATGCTTAAATTTCTTTTATAATCAGGAGGAAAAAGAAGTGAACTTTCAGGTTAAAGAAAAAAAAAATTTATGTTAATGTATGCATCTTTATGCCAATGCATTTGTAAAGCATAATTTTCCCTATTTCTAGGGAGGAAGGAGCCGATGAAGACAAAGCTCCCAGGGCCCAGGAGAGTAAGAGCAGCCAGGCACCTGACTCGCCCCTCAGCACCTGGAGACCCTGTGTGGCTTTGTCTCCCTCCTCTCCCTGTGGCCCCTGGGCTGGAAAAGGACAGAAGCGATTTTTGATTAAGCACAGATGTGTGCTCCTTTGCTTCACTCTCCGCTGAGATGGCTGGGCCTGCACGGCCTGGAAGCTCACCTGGTTTCCTGCAATCACAGGAGCTGGCAGGTTGCAGCTCCCACCCAGGGCCCCTGCCCAAGGCCTGTGCATTTCTCAGCTCAGCTCCACGCAGTGAATACCCCCACAGAAGGAAGCAGGAGACTTCAAATCCTCCCCCCAGTCTCCTGTAGTCCCCACTGCCTGACATTTAACCATGCCTCCCTGAAGGGTTTTATGCTGAACAGCTTAGTGCATTTGCACCATTTCTAGCAAGAACCCGAATCCCGTTGTTTGCTCAAAACACAAATGCCAAGTGAGAATCCCCTGGAAGAGGAAACCGGAGCAGTGTGGTGAGAGAAACTGGTCCCTGAGGTCCAGGGCCTGACGCCCAGCCCCGCTCCATGATCAGAGGCCTGTGATCTTGGCCGACCTTATGCCATCCCAGGGCCTTGACATTCTGTGTGAATTGAATGAGTGGGTCCTGATGGTCCCACACCCCTTTTCTACAAGAATCACATGTCGTTGCTCATGGGCCTTACAACCACAGATGTGCCGGGTGGTGACAGCAATCAGCCAGTGTAGCCCATGGAGATCTTCCCTGCCTGAACTCTGCACATTGTTGCATGAAAGGGCAGGTTTGGCCACCCTGATGAACATTCCTGATCTGGAAACTGGCCGGGCGGCAACTCTCCAGACCCCTGACCAGGACAGAGCGATATTAACCAACAGGCATTTAGGTGAACTCCTTGGCAGGGAAAATCTACCGTGGAAGCGTAGAGCTGAAGGGAAGTTCCTCTGAGCTCCAGCCCTGCTGCCCTGTGAGTGCGTATCGGAGACGGCAGCCAGTCCCGTTTATCTCTGCCCTCTGTGTACTCCAGGCCTACTGGCTTCAGAGAAAGAGGGCTCCCTTGGTGGGCAATGCCACGCTGCCTACTCTCAAACTAAATAAAGCGTCTCTTCCATATATGCAAGTTACCTTTTGCTAAACACAAGGATGGTGGAAGTGCGCTTCATTTGGGGCAAATGACTTACTTGAAAGCAGCCACCAGGGGCTCGCTTCCTGATGTGTATGAGGACAGACTGTATGTACCGGGTGTCTCCGGGCAGGGAATGAGTCTCAGGGCACTTGGAGGAAAGAGCTTCACGGCCTTTGGAGCACGCAGGATTTGGGTTGGAATCCAGCTTCATCATTTACTAGCTGTGTGACCTGAGGTGGACCACCTAACCTCTCTGAGCCTCCATTTCCTCAGTTGTAAAATAGAAATGACAAAAGTTGCTCTCCAACCTGACTGCCATGATTCCCTGAAAAAACACATGTGAATTGCTCAGAGCCCAGTAGGTGCTATGTGAGTGCTAGCCCTCCTGTTTTCTGACCTCGGGAGCACACTTACCCCTGGCATGATTATCTTCTCAATGTCGCTGATGATGTCCTCAAATGTGTCTGGCTCCTGGGGGGCAGCAGCAGGGATCAGCGGCCGCAGGTAGCCGGGCTCCACGTCAGGGTAGACCTGGCGTCCCTCAATGCCTTCCAAGTAGTTGGCCACGTAATCCACCATCTCCTTCCCTCTCCTGCGAAATTCACTTGCATTCATGGTTCCTGGGCTCTGTCAGAGGTGAAAACTGCAAACAGAGAGAAAATGAATTAATTTACATTCCCACCAACAGTGTAAAAGTGTTCCTATTTCTCCACATCCTCTCCAGCATTTGACCCAGCAATCCCATTACTGGGTATATATCCAAAGGATTATAAATCATTCTACTACAAGGACACGTGCACACGAATGTTCATTGCAGCACTGTTTACAATAGCAAAGACCTGGAACCAACCCAAATGCCCAACGATGATAGACTGGATAGGGAAAATGTGGTACATATACACCATGGAATATTACACAGCCATCAAAAACGATGAGTTCACGTCCTTTGTAGGGACATGGATGAACCTGGAAACCATTATTCTCAGCAAACTGACACAAGAGCAGAAAATCAAACACTGTATATTCTCACTCATAGGTGGGTGTTGAACAATGAGAACACATGGACACAGGGAGGGGAGCACTACACACTGGGGTCCGTTGGGGGAAAATGGGGGAGGGGTGGGGGGGTGGGGAGGTGGGAAGAGATAGCATGGGGAGAAATGACAGATACAGGTGAGGGGACGGAAGGCAGCAAACCACACTGCCAAGTGTGTACCTATGCAACAATCTTGCATGTTCATCACATGTACCCCAAAACCTAAAATGCAATAAAAAAAATAAAAATTAAAAAAAAAAAAAGAAAATGATTCAGTAAGTAAACTTTGCAGACTCTTGAACTGGAAGGTGGAGATTCTAAGCAAGCCATGGGTAGGGCCACCTGGGCAGTGACCGCATACCCTGGAGACCACTTGGATCCCAAGTAAGGGAGCTTCCCTGCCACGTCTAAAGGAGGTAGAAATTGCACTGGATTTGGGACTATGGCAAAAGCTGCGTCTCCTCTTTACTAGCTATTCCACCGGTCTCTTTATTTCGGTTTCTGCGTTAGTGAAATAGACTAAAAGCACACATTTATTTTTTCTTTCTTTCTTTCTTTCCTCTCCTTTTTTTTTTTTTTTTTTTTTTTTTTTTTTTTTTTGACAAAATCTCTGTTGCCCAGACTGGAGTGCAATGGCGCTATCTTGGCTCACGGCTGCAACCTCTGCCTCCCAGGTTTAAGCGATTGTCATGCCTCAGCCTCCTGAGTAGCTAGGATTACAGGCACCCACCACCACGCCTGGATAATTTTTGTATTTTTAATAGAGACAGGGTTTTACCATGTTAGCCAGGCTGGTCTCAAACTCCTGACCTCAGGTGGTCCACCTGCCTCAGCCTCCCAAAGTGCTAGGATTACAGGCATGAGCCACCACACCCAGCCTATTTTCATCATCTATTCCAACTTTAATGAAAACACTGGTCCAAGTCCTGCCTCTGCCCCTTACCTGCCTTTGAAAGAGACAATCTTGCCCCTTAGAGCCCCTTTCCTCATCTGGGAAATGAAGACGGTGATGCTGACCTCTCAGGAAGGTATGAAGTCACAATCACACAATATACTCAAGCCTCAGCTCTGAGCCTGGGGCAGTGCATGCCCTCAAAGTTAGTCTTCTTCCCTCCTCCTGATTCTGCCACAGATGGAGCTGCACCTTTATGTCCCATCTGCTTTTCGAAACGAATGCTCTCCTCCCTCCTAGCATAAGTCATATGCAGGCAATTCTCCTTATTGCTGATAGCTGTATTCTGTCTACAATAGTTGCCGTGAACTCTGAATCAGTGAATACTGAACCATTTCTTCTAGGGGAAATACTGTTTCCTGAAGAGTGATCCCAACATTTTTGTCAACAAATCAATACAGAAACTTTTTATGTGTTTTTAAAAGACACCGTATTTAGCATATATCGATTCATTAACATTGGACTCACAGCCAATAGCACCGTCACTCTTGACTGGGGAAGCTTCTCTAACATGTCTGTTTTCTCCATAAGGCACATCTTGTGCATAGGACGGCTAGGCAGCCCTTCGGCACCTCATTTGGTGGTCATTTTAAACAGCAAAATCCCCAAGGGGGAAAAAAAAAACATTAAAATGTGAAGGACGTGGCACTAAATAGACAGAGAGAAGGACACATGTTTCCAGTATGAGAGCGGAAGCCAGAAAGCAGCGTCCACGAGTTCTGCCTCAGCTGGGAACATGTGCATCGGACAAGCACATTCTCCGCCATGCTACACATATGCACGTCCCTCAGTGGTCTGAAAAGCACCACGAGTATTGAGATTCATTGACCCTGGGGGGTTACACACGAATTTTAGCAAGTGAGAGAATTTGCCTATGTGGAATCTGTGAATAGGAATCAATTGTATTTTCAAAACAGGACAGTTAACAACACAGAGAAAAAGATAAGCCTAGAATCCCACCATCCGAAATTCTGGCATGTGTCCTTCTAGAATTTTTATTTTGAGAGGGAGTTTCACTCTTGTTGCCCAGGCTGAAGTGCAATGGTCTGATCTTGGTTCACCGCGACCTCTGCCTCCTGGGTTCAGGCGATTCTCCTGCCTCAGCCTCCTGAGTAGTTGGGATTATAGGTGCCCGTCACCACCCCAGCTAATTTTTGTACTTTTAGTAGAGATGGGGTTTTACTACGTTAGTCAGGCTGGTCTCAAACTCCTGACCTCAGGTGATCTGCCCACCTCAGCATCTCAAAGTGCTGGGATTACAGGCAAGAGCCATCGCTCCTGGCCTCTAGAATATTTTCTATTTGTGAGAGACAATTGCATGCTAGCCAAGGGATACATTTTCAAATCCCTTTCATACTCTAAAGTTGTACAATTTAAGACAGATTTTCCCCTGGGAGTGAAGTGCTTAGGATGACTCTAAATTCACTGTTATTAGCAGTGCCAATGACTTTAATATCAGCTTCCCAGCAATTCTCCATTTTCCCCATTGCCCAAACTGGGACTTCTGACAATTTTTGTGAGGTTAAAAGCGGTAAAGAAAAATTGTTCTCTAGACACTTGTTAAAAGTGACAAGACGGATTTTACCCAAGACCACTGCAATAGGGATAGAGTGCTACAAAAGGGAAGGGACTGAGCTCAACTCCAAAATCAACAGGGCACAGAGGGACTTACAGTCAACGGGCAGATGAGAAATCCATGGGTGGAAAATTAATAAGATGAACTTGGGTCAGTATCAAGGGTGGAGGGGAAAAGGGAAACTCTGATTAGATACAAAAGCTGGAAACACACGAGCTTGATTGGACATCAAGAGCGTGCTCAGCTAAGCTGTTCCATCTTGGGGCAGAGGAGCTTCGCCGAAGGTTGGTCAAGGTCCTTTGACAAAGGTACACCTGCTTGAATGTGGTTTTCCTTCCATTGGCATTCTCTCAAACACTTTTATTTCCGTGTTCTCTGCTAGATGAACGGTTACAGCAGTTTTTATGGTATTTTAAGGCTTGTTAGATCCAGCCCCCATATTAAAGCTATTGGTTGAAGAAGCATTTCTCAGCTAGTGAGTGTTTGAGCGGCAGTGATTGAGATGCAAGATTAGACTCTAAATTATAGCAACAGCGAATGCCAAACTAACAAGCATGAGAAAAACCACAATGAATGAAGTTCTGTTGCATCTCTGTGCTTCTTAAGCCAAGGACCAAGGAGTGTCCTGTTCACCAGCAAAATATCATGGCCACCTGCTACTTTAATCTTGTTTAAAGTGACTATTTTAAATTTTGCACATACAGTGAAACTTGGTTTTTACCTCAAGTGGAAGTACTTCAAATTAATGTGACTCAGGTTTTTAAGCCAAACAGTATCACGCTGCAAATCTTTTTGCTAGCTTTTTTTTCTTCACTAATTTCTAAGTACATGACATTAAAGGTAGTAAAGTACATTTCTCATATTGATAAATACTTTTCTTTTTTCTTTTTTTCTTTTTCTTTTTTTTAATTACTGTCATCCATTGACCATTTTATTTTATTTTTTTATTGTACTTTAGGTTCTGGGGTACATGTGCAGATCATGCAGGATTGTTGTATAGGTACATACATGGCAAAGTGGTTTGCTGCCTTCATGCCCCCATCACCTATATCTGGTATTTCTCCCCGCATTGTCCCTCCCCACCCTCCCCACCCCCTGCTGTCCCTCCCCTAGTCCCCCCAACTGACCCCAGTGTGTGATGATCCCCTCCCTGTGTCCACGTGTTCTTATCGTTCAACACTCGCCTATGAGTGAGAACATGCGGTGTTTGGTTTTCTGTTCTTGTGTCAGTTTGCTGAGAATGATGGTTTCCAGATTCATCCATGTCCCTATGAAGGACAGCAACTCATTGTTTTCTATGGCTGTGTAGTATTCCATGGTGTATGTGTGCCACATTTTCTTTATCCAGTCTATTGTTGATGGACATTTGGGATGGTTCCAAGTCTTTGCTATTATAAACAGTGCCACAACGAACTACTTGTGCATGTGTCTTTTTATAATAGAACAATTTATAATTCTTTGGGTGTACACCCAGTATTGGGATTGCTGGGTCTAATGGAATTTCTATTTCTAGGTCCTTGAGGAATCGCCACGCTGTCTTCCACAATGGTTGAACTAATTTACACTCCCACCAACAGTGTAAAACTTTTCCTATTTCTCCACATCCTCTCCAGCATCTACTGTCTCCTGATTTTTTAATGATCGCCATTCTAACTGGCGTGAGATGGTATCTCAATGTGGTTTTGATTTGCATTTCTCTAATGATCAGTGATGATAAGCATTTTTTCATATGTTTGTTGGCCTCATAGATGTCTTCTTTTGAAAAGTGGCTGTTCATATACTTCACCCACTTTTGAATGGTTTTTTTTTTTTCTTGTAAATCTGTTTTAGTTCTTTGTAGATTCTGCATATTAGCCCATTGTCAGATGGGTAGATTGCAAAAACTTTTTCCCATTCTGTTGGTTGCCAGTTTGCTCTAATGATAGTCTCCTTTGCAGTGCAGAAGCTCTGGAGATTGATTAGATCCCATTTGTCTATTTTGGCTTTGTTGAAGGTGGGTAATAACAAATCTCTCTGAGTTAAAGGAACATGTTCTAACCCAATGTAAAGAAACTAAACACCTTGAAAAAAAGGTTAGAT